ATCGCCACGCCCATTCACCCGTTACTTTACAACCACCCACTGCAACGCCCATTCACCCGTTACTTTTACAGCCAGCCATCGCCACGCCCATTCACCCGTTACTTTTACAGCCAGCCATCGCCACGCCCATTCACCCGTTACTTTACAACCACCCACTGCAACGCCCATTCACCCGTTACTTTTACAGCCAGCCATCGCCACGCCCATTCACCCGTTACTTTTACAGCCAGCCATCGCCACGCCCATTCACCCGTTACTTTTACAGCCAGCCATCGCCACGCCCATTCACCCGTTACTTTTACAGCCAGCCATCGCCACGCCCATTCACCCGTTACTTTACAACCACCCACTGCAACGCCCATTCACCCGTTACTTTTACAGCCAGCCATCGCCACGCCCATTCACCCGTTACTTTTACAGCCAGCCATCGCCACGCCCATTCACCCGTTACTTTTACAGCCAGCCATCGCCACGCCCATTCACCCGTTACTTTTACAGCCAGCCATCGCCACGCCCATTCACCCGTTACTATCACAACCATCCCACTGCCACTCCCATTCACCCGTAACTGTTACTACTACCCACCGCCACGCCCATTTACCCGTTACTATCACAACCACCCACTGCCACGCCCATTCACCCTTTACTTTTACAACCACCCACTGCCACGCCCATTCACCCGTTACTATCCCAATCGTTTCTATCACAACCAGCCACTGTCACGCCCATTACCCGTAACTATCACAACCGCCCACTGCCACGTCCATTCACCCGTTACTATCACAACCACCCACTGCCACGCCCATTCACCCTTTACTTTTACAACCACCCACTGCCACGCCCATTCACCCGTTACTATCACAACCATCCCACTGCCACGCCCATTCACCCATTACTGTTACAACCAGCCACTGCCACGCCCATTCACCCGTTACTGTTGCAACCAGCCACTGCCACGCCCATTCACCCGTTACTATCACAACCATCCCACTGCCACGCCCATTCACCCATTACTGTTGCAACCAGCCACTGCCACGCCCATTCACCCGTTACTATCACAACAACCCACTGTCACGCCCATTCACCCGTTACTGTTACAACCAGCCACTGCCACGTCCATTCACCCGTTACTATCACAACAACCCACTGTCACGCCCATTCACCCGTTACTGTTACAACCAGCCACTGCCACGCCCATTCACCCGTTACTATCACAACCACCCACTGCCACGCCCATTCACCCGTTACTGTTACAACCACCCACTGCCTCGCCCATTCACCCGTTACTATCACAACAACCCACTGTCACGCCCATTCACCCGTTACTGTTACAACCAGCCACTGCCACGCCCATTCACCCGTTACTATCACAACCACCCACTGCCACGCCCATTCACCCGTTACTGTTACAACCACCCACTGCCTCGCCCATTTACCCGTAACTATCACAACCACCCGCTACCACGCCCATTCACCCGTTACTATCACAACCACCCACTACCACGCCCATTCACCCGTTAGGGTTACAACCACCCGCTGCCACGCCCATTCACCCGTTACTATCACAACTACCCACTTCCACGCCCATTCATCCGTTACTGTTGCAACCAGCCACTGCCACGCCCATTCACCCGTAACTATCACAACCACCCGCTACCACGCCCATTCACCCGTAACTATCACAACCACCCGCTACCACACCCCCTTCACCCGTAACTATCACAACCACCCGCTACCACACCCCCATTCACCCGTTGTTACCACTATTCACGCGCTTAACTACATGCATATACGGATAGTTATAGTTATTAATACATCAATAATTGAAAAAAAAGTTTTTATTCCATTTGCAGAAAGACATTTAGCCAACATGGCGACTTCAGTATTAAATTAATGATAACTAGATTATAATAAACTAAAATCTGTCAAAATGAATTTTCTAATAAGAACATGTCATGAGCTAAATATGCACAAGCAATGCGTATTCATTGTAATCGTCAATCGCGATGACAACATGTATCAACAATAATAAACACCCCGTGTGTACGCAGTTGCCCTTCAGTCGCGGCAATGAAGCTGTATTTATCAACCAGTACATGCGCATTCGTATGTCGCAAGCCTGAGCCCGTTGAGAGGACTGGCGTTTTGCGTTACACCCTAGCCGCTGTGTTGCGACATCAGAGAAATGCACGTAGCGGATATATAAATAATTGGGTCACGTGTTATCTGATATTCATTTCGACATCAGCTGTGTTACTCGGCGGAGATATTACAACCGTGTGCAGACAGAACGAAAACTTGGTCCGATCAAGGTAATGCGTGCATTTACAACCATATTTCTAGACAAATGTTTGAATTAAGAGGTATATATAATTGTGGGTGTGGATATATATATATATCGACGTCATGTAAGCAAAACAATAGCGTTAAAGGCAGTAAGACAGTGTACATGTTTTGACAGACATGTATAGAATTGCCTACTAATTATTTACTAATATAAACCTACAGATATTGTTTAGTGTGTTCTGACTTGTCCAACTTCACCAAGGAATTCACTTTTGTGTTTTGATAAGGTCTTGTAATCGGTACGTTATTATAAAATGTAGTTTCTATCAAATCTTCATCACGGCTTACGTTGGATAATCATCATTTTAAGATTGTTTGTTTGTTTATTTGTTTGTTGTTTAACGCCTAATTCAGCAATATTCTAGCTATATGACGGCGGTCTGTCAATAACTGGACAATCCAGTGATTGATGCCATATAAACAAGGCAAATCACAAAGCCTGACCACACGATCCATTTACAAGCACATGTGGCTGGTACTAGTATTCTTACTCGGATTTAGGGGTGGTCAGGTAGCCTAGTGGTTAAAGCGTTCGCTCCTCACGCCGAAGACCCGGGTTCGATTCCCGACATGGGTACAATATGTGAAGCCCATTTCTGATGTCCTCCGCCGTGATATTGCTGGAATATTGCTAAAAGCGGCGTAAAACCATACTCACTCACTTACTCGGTTTTCCCACGGGTCTACCTCCTGACATTATCATAATACAATGTATATAATTCCGAGTAAGAATATAGCAGCCTATCAAGGTCACGAGAGGAGAATAAATGGATCCTGTGGTTATGCTGTGTGATTTGCATTGATTATATGTCATCAAACACTGGATTGTCTAGTCCGGTAAATAGTCCAGTAAATATAGATATTATTATTTATAACAATGACTCAAAAGGATATTGACTCGTGCAAATTCCGAGTAAGTAAATAGGTCCCCAGCAGCTTAATTATATATACAAAACGTGGTTTAATTTTTCACAATAAAACGTTGTTCTGTCATGACGTCATTTCTGGTGACAGAGGGTAATTCATTTGTCGAGTGAAATATCATGTTTCTCTCATCGAGGGACAAGGGGAAAAGAGATATTTTAACGAGTGGCGTAGCTATAAGTAAAGATATCCCCTTTCCCCCCGTGTAGTTGTCTACCGGAAAGTTAAATTATTTCATTACAAATGTATAACCTTGAAACGTACTTCTCCCTACTTAACACAGAGGGACGGTTCACCACGCCTTGTATTTGCGACCAAAAAAAGTAGTTTCGTGTTTTCAAAATCTTTAAAAATATAAACAAAAGTAACAAAACATATTTAGGTTCACGAAAATATAGATATGATTATATACAAAATCAACTTCAACAAAAAATATTCTTGAAAACGATGAGACCGCTGTTGGAAGCGAAAGCATACACTGTGGTCAAGTAAATAAAATGGCGCTTTGCGAATAGTCTCAATTGACGAGTTAAATGAGAAATTTACGGTTTATAACGAAACTTGTTCAAGAGAATAACAATCGGCATGAAACGATATTAACTATGTCAATGTGGAACTAACGTAAATTGGAGGTCAAGACTTTGTGTACGGGCCAGACACTTACGATAAAGGGAGATAATGTGAGGGGAGGTAACTCTTGTATGACAATAGTTCCGTCAAAGTGTTATGTTCACGGCGGTGAAATATCAAGTGTTATTTTCACTGCAATGAGAATATCACTTTCTCAACTTCGGAAAACTCAGTCATTTTTTAATAAATTCGAATATGCGCTCGCAACTTGATGAAGTCATGTATTGGACGACCTTATTTTAGAGAGGGAAGTGTCTTGTAAGTTGTTCCCCATAGATGTAGCTGGGCTATGCAGAAAAACGCAGTGTCCGAACGATCGCAAAGCATCCAAAAGTGGGAGACATGTGACAGTCGCTATTAGGAGAAAAGGTACAGCTAATCGACGTGAGGATTGTGAGAATATGCGGGAAATACCAAACTTAACCCACCTGTTCGTAAAGGGACTTGTCTGACATTTCCGAGGTCAGATTGTGTTCAGGGAGTCATCATTATAACAGTTTGGGTAAATTTTCTTGTACATTTTATCAACATCCTTAAAGAGGCTTTACATAATGTTGATATCTCATATAAGAAGACCCGTGAAGATCCGGGGTAGAATAGGTCTTCAGTAACCCATGCTTGCCGTAAAAGGCGACTATGCTTGTCGCAAGAGGGATGGGGTGGTCAGGCTTGCTGACTTGGTTGATGCATGTCATCGTATCCCAATTGCGTTGATCGATGCTCATGATGTCGATCACAGAATTGTCTGGTCCAGACGCGATTATTTACAGACCGCCGTCATATACCTGGAATATTGCTGAATGCGGCGTTAAACAACAAACAAACAAACAAACAAATCATATAAGAAATGAACCTCATGGTTATTGTCCCATTATGGCAATGACAGGATACACTGTGCATAATTTGTTTAATTACGTGTTTCTATTCTACACTCCTGATTGAACAATGACCACGGTAAACATGTACTGTTATTACATGGGCGAGATATGCCAACGACCTCATTGCGAGGCTGTGTTTTCGAGTCTGCCCCAACGCAGGTATTTATAACTGTGCAGGCCCTATCGTGTCAGCAGGTTGACTCAATACGTGATACTGCCTGCATCCGAATACTCACGTTCGCTATTTGTAAAGTTCAAATGGGTATTTATGCGTTTGATGGTGTTTATAAGCAATGTAATGTAAACAAACCCCAAATTGATCAGCATTAGCGCAAACTGTTTGTACGGGAACCAGCTCAAGAGAGAGTCAAGACGCTGATAAAGGTTAGTAAATGTTTAAAAATATCATTACAACGGATTCATTTCGTTGATCGTGAGGTGTTTAACTGATCTCGTTCTAATATGAGTCAGAGGCGGTGTGGTAGCCTAGTGGTGAAAAGCGTTCGCTCTTCTCGCCGAAGACCCGGGTTCGATTCCCCACATGGGTACTATGTGTGAAGCCCATTTCTGGTGTCCCCTGCCATGATATTGCTGGAATATTGCTAACAGCAGTTTAAACCCATACTCATTTACTTACTTACAACATCTCCAGTGTAAGGTCTTGTGTTGTAAATGTGTACAAGACACCTGGTCGAGACGATAGTGGCGAATGTCTCCGAATATCAATATACATCGCAAGAATACATAAAATGTTTCGACTGCTTGTAAGAGAGCTACCATGGCTATAGCACAATCAATCTGGAAAATAATAAAAACATTTAAGCATGAGCCATTAGCAAGATGTGATATTGATGGAGAAGCGGCTTGAAACTATACTCACTCACTCACTAGTTTGAATCATCACACTGAAATAAGCGTAATGGTGTCAGTATAGCAGCCCATGACCCATACTGAACAAATACAGACGTTATGTGATTAATGGTCATTCTCGGTCAGTTAGGCACTCGGCACGCTTGTTAAATAACCTACTTGCGGACACGATCACGGGTATAATTGATACAAGCACAATCATTTGTTTTCCTTTGGGGCATCTAAGCAGAAAGAAATTAGAAACCGAAATTCCAAGATGGCCAGCATGTTACCAAGATGGCCGCCAAATTATCGTTCAATTATTCCCTTTTAAACTTATTACTTATGCAGATTTTTACTGTTTCGCTATTCCAGCTGAAACCTAGAGTCACCTCAGCTTTCACCTGCAACGTTCAGTCCAAAGTAGACCGCTTTTAAAAAAGCTCGTTTTTGTTGACTTTGATATGGATTTATAAGTTTGTTTTATAAAATTCTGTTCTATTTATATATAATAGCTTGGTTTCTACAATTGCTCATCCATTTAAATACAGAGATACTTCGTTAATTTGAATTCCGTGAACTAGACATATCTTTTAAGACACAGATCTTAGTCTCACCACAGTTCATATCGACATTGCGGGCACAGAACAAGTGACCCAGTCGTCTCACTTGTAAGGCGCCGCTATTCGCTGTGCGGAGTCGCCTCCCTTGGGCACGCCAGAAACCTATGATCGTTGGTTCGAATCCATGCTCGCCCGTATTTTGTGTCTTGGTTCAACAGCACACCACAAATGGGTTTCACCCAAATGGTAAACATCTTGAGACCTGCATCATTTCGGGATTTCCTCCCACATTAAGCTGACAAACCGCGATATAAAACTGAATGCTGTTCAAATCAAAGCGGCTTTAAACCCAACTCACTCACTTGCTCATATCGACACTATATGGCTTATATTGGTAATCCGCTTTTCTCGAACAACGAATAATTCGACATAAGTCTATGGTCCCAAGGCAACGCTACTTCATTGTATATAGTTAGTTCGTGACTGACCTTCGTGGCGTTATTGTAAAAGGCAATGTCACTCTAGTCGACGCTTTGATCTCATACCGACACTCCGCTTGTGTCGAGCTTCGGATAATTCGATGGTCCTTTCGTGGTTGATATTTGTTGTCCAATTGTTACTATCATTGTCACACGGCAGAACAAGTCATTTCCCATTTCACAGGGGGCACCGGCTGCCCATTCGTCAGAAGCGTCGCAGTTCCCTGTGCAGAGTTGCGTCGCTTGGGTGTGTCAAGATCCGATTACCGTGTGTTTGAATCATAAATTCGCGCTGATTATGATAGTTGGTTTGTCGGAACGCTTCCGACCTGTGTTATCTCGGGTTTTCTCCATAAGTGAAATTATTCTCAAAGCGGCATAAAACACAACTCACTGATTCCATGGCACCCTATTGCTGTTGGTTTTGTACCTTTGTACCAACCGTTTCATCATGTGAGTTAACGTATCAAACACGCAACGCAATCACGTTTCACTTTATCTATATCCGATTGCACAACATAGAATACAATGTAAACAGTCTTTACCTGGCCGACGTCATAAATTATAGGGGAACGTTTCAATGACTGCCGTCAATGTTTGTGCGGAAAAGCCTGTTGAACATTGTGTTCGTGTTATCTGCTCCAGGGATTTCAAAGATATCACGACTCAATATTATTACTTGGAAAGCAATCGACCTGGCTTGATGTCTTTTTAAGTAGCTTCACAACAAAACTCTGACACCAGTCCCGAACCCCGAACCTTGTCCTTGTTTGCTAAAGACTCGGCACATCGCTTAACTATGAGCATTATTTTGTCCTAATGACCAATTAATATGTATGAATGTAATATATCAAACAGGTACGGGATAACGCTGAATCATGATAGAGACAGTGTCTATATATTGACGTTGCGCCAATAGTCACGCGATTGACATTACCGTAAATCCTCCAGACAATGTCATGAAGTGAGATGAAATGAGTTTAACGTCGCGTTCAAGAATATCGCACCTGTATGGCAATTTGTATGCACAGGTGTGCGTGTGTGCGTGCCAGTCCGGACTAAAGCCTGTTTCATAGTGCCAGCCCACTGAGATACCGCACTTTTAACAAGAATACCCCACTCAGTCACAGCTAGCAAAGTAACGCCGAACCGACCAGTACTTAACAAATGTTATATTTGGGATAACACTTTCTTCGTAAAGTACAGATTCTAGTCCTTGTGTGCAGGAGATTAGGTGCTCGCCCTGAGAGTGTGAGTTCGAATTCCAGATTGGACCCAAGTCCCAAAAATACTAGAATTTGTATTTCACTAAGTGAGTGAGTCAGTAAGTTGGGTTTAAAGCCGCTTTTAACAGTATTCCAGTTATATCACGGCGTGTCAGCTTTATGTGGGAGGAAAGCCCGAAGTGATGCAGGTCTCAGACGTTTACCACTTCGGTGAAACCCACGAGCATGGGTATGATGCTGACAAACCTAGAAACATAATCGGAGCGAACCGGGATTCGAACCCACAATCATAGGTTTCTGGCGTGCAAGGGACGCAACTCTGCACAGTGAATCGCAGCGCCTTAGACGACTGGGCCACGCGTGCCCCCTATTTTACTAAGAGAGTGTTATCCCAAATATTACATTTGTTACATGTGACCACTTTTCTAAATGACATTGGGTTTTAGTATTCACGATCTGTACTTGTTTTAACACGTTGAAGCCGAGTGTAAGTGTCACCTTGTTTTGGAATGATTCGACCGGGGACCCTCTACCTCCCGCTCAGGGGCAGACGCTCTATCGACAATACCACGGAGGCCCTCACGTACATGTCATGAAGAATGAACGGAGAATCGCGCATCTCCGTGTGATTCGTTCCCAATGTGCCATTCGTCACCACTCGCCCCTTTCCGTAACCTGCAAGAAGATTCGGCTTGTCCCGGAATAACACGAGTTACGAATGCCCATGTGTATCAAGTTTGTGTATATAGTTAATTAACTATTCGTAAAAATAATAAGGAGAGTGCAGATTGACATTTCAACGCTGACGAACACAAACAACTACACCTCTGTCGAAATGAAACAGGCGGTTGCACGTGCAAGTCGAGATGTTGTGGGTACAAAACTTGATACACATGGGCATTCGTAACTCGTGTTATTCCGGGACAAGCCGAATCTTCTTGCAGGTTACGGAAAGGGGCGAGTGGTGAGGAATGGCACATTGGGAACGAATCACACGGAGATGCGCGATGACAATGGAATAGTTTATGTTGATAGGGGGTTTCAGCTATTTGGATGAACATTTTCGTGGGAAATAATACACGGTTAGAACAACAGAGTCACGTCACAAGAATGATTATTTTAATAATAATCAACTTTCTGTTTCAATTTTGTTACAATCCTTGTCATCGAGTCATATGCTTATTCAAGGATTTACGGTATTTGCAAATTACGAAAGTTTCTGAAACGTCGATTTGTAGTAATTAATTTGTGTTAATAATTAGTTGTTAAACACATCTAATGTTAATGCACCCACCGTAATGGAATGACAATATGGGCGTAACGATGGCTGGCATGGTGGGTTTGCTGTAAATCACATGACGTTGACATTTGAGCGTTTGGTTCAGGGAGTGGGGTCGGGCGTGAAGGGGGGATTCAAGGTGTTGCCTAGTATTGCTACATTAAGGAAGTTTCTGCAAACAAAACGATTAGAGGGTTTGGTGACATCCACCTTTTATCCTAAAGTCGGTTAATGTTACAGTGTAAGTATCGGTATATAAGATCGGGTACATGGGATGGATGGGGGGATATGCTGTGGTACATAAGATAGATTGGGGGATATGCTGTGGTACATGGGATGGATTGGGGGATATGCTGTGGTACATGAGATGGATTGGGGGATATGCTGTGGTACATGAGATGGATGGGGGATATGCTGTGGTATATGGGATGGATGGGGGATATGCTAGGGTACATGAGATGGATTTGGGGATATGCTAGGGTACATGGGATGGATTTGGGGATATGCTAGGGTACATGAAATGGTTCAGGGAGTGGGGTCGGGCGTGAAGGGGGGATTCAAGGTGTTGCCTAGTATTGCTACATTAAGGAAGTTTCTGCAAACAAAACGATTAGAGGGTTTGGTGACATCCACCTTTTATCCTAAAGTCGGTTAATGTTACAGTGTAAGTATCGGTATATAAGATCGGGTACATGGGATGGATGGGGGGATATGCTGTGGTACATGAGATAGATTGGGGGATATGCTGTGGTACATGGGATGGATTGGGGGATATGCTGTGGTACATGAGATGGATGGGGGATATGCTGTGGTATATGGGATGGATGGGGGATATGCTGTGGTACATGAGATGGATTTGGGGATATGCTAGGGTACATGGGATGGATTGGGGGATATGCTAGGGTACATGAAATGGATGGGGGATATGCTGTAGTACATGAGATGGATGGGGGATATGCTGTGGTACATGGGGGATATGATGTGGTAC